CTTTGGGTGAATTCTCTGGATTAGTTCAACCAACACTTTTATCTACTAGACGATGTGACCTCAGTTAATTTTGGTGACGAATAAACCTAAAGCCTCAGTAATTTTTTTTTTTACCAGAGTCCATTTAAAAGTTGTTGTCATAGTTGTTTTTCTCTATGAGCCATGTTGTATTTCACTTTAGTAACTCAACTCGTCATGTTTTTTGCTGACCTCTGCTGTGGCCACGTATTGAACTCACAACTCTTTGGGTCAAGTCACTAGATTATTTCAACCAATGCCATTATCACGGTGCTATGAAATTATTTATATAGAATGCACAGAGATACTGCGTTATGTCGGTGGGAAAGTGACAAAAGGTCAGGTCAGGACCAATAACAGTAATTTGAGAGTAAAAAAAATATATTTTAATATTTATACAATATAAATTATTTTGAAGAAATGAATGGATTTTTGACCGAAATTATTTCTTATTAGATTATATTAAGTGGTAAAAGGTGTTTGACTAGAGATCCCTTTTTAAAAATAGTTAAATTGATTTAAAAACGGAGAGTTTACGTTTATATACTAAATATAATGTTCATAGTAATAAATAATATAAATTATAATGAATTAAAATTATGTGTTTTCACTTATTTCTTTTAATTGAGTCTGTTAAAAATAATTTCGCAGCAGTTATCAATATGGATCCGTACATTCTGATCCATAATGAGGGAGATTTTAGGGACTAAAAATCCATTCTTGCTGACTTCTATAGACTAAAGGCGAAAGAATGGGGTCCCCCCTGTATTTCTATAAAAAGACATCAAAATGAGATAATTTTGTTTTGTTTATTTTTAAGTAAAATATAAAATGTATTTGCTTTTATTTTGACCAAAATAGTCAATTAATTAAACATTGCAATAATTTGTTTTCGTCAACAAAAAAAAACACATGCGCTAATTACATACTTTCCAACGGCTTTCGAAAAAAGCGTATATGGCAGAACTTCTCAAGTATTGTTCAAACACTGAAAAAGCCCACTCTTTTGGTATTCACTTGAAACTCAAATTTATACCATACTAATTCTATGGGAGATAAGCCAGGAAATTAAGGCAGCAAAGTCTTAATATCTAAAATTGTGTTCTTTATATGGGCTTGTGTTAATTTTGATATAATTTAAAAATAAATTTTTTGATCGTTGTTTTGTTGAAAGGTGAATTTCTTTCCAATTATATGTAAACCAGAAAGTAAAACATGTCTTTTTAAATATCGAATGATATTATTCTTCGTTCATGACTCGCTTGAACTGAATCAAATGTCCAGCCCTTTTTGTAATCTCAAAATGCTTACTGAAAGTGACAACTAAATGTGATATTTTTCAAACAAAATATTTATCAATTTATAGCGTGACGAATCCAAATTTGAAGTTTTTAGTACTAGGCGAAATTGAAGTACTGCTAAAAAACAAAACAAATTTACTATATTTACTGAAATGTTTTCTTTTATTTTTAAAAAAATACAAAAATTGTTTATTTTAAGGTGTGGTTTGAAGAAATATAGAGATTCTCCAAACATTTTGCCTACAGTGTACCATTGGGTCTATATAATCAACTGATTGGGTAATATTTGCACCTGACTGAACCTGGTGCAGAAAGTTAAATAATTTCTCATTGAATAAATAGTTAAATAATATTTCATATGGTTAAATGATATTTTCAGTTTAAAACAAGAATGAAAGCATTAATAAATTGTTGTACTTCGCAGACAGTCTTACATTTTTCAATAGCGAAGTCAAATTAGAATATAAGCAGAAGCTATACTTATAATTAGCGATACAGGTAACGATTCAAGCACAAAACCCTCGCCATCTAAATTACATGATTCAACAGACATATTCAGATCTTTGTCAAAGATAATAATCACTTGAGTATCGCTAGCACAGATGCCTTCAGACAAATGCAATTATGGGCATATACGCAGAAATTGATGGGAAATTGTAAACAAACGTCTTATGCGAACGAAAACTGTTCGTTATAGGCGCCCATTATAATTCTAGAGGAGAGCGATGGTACGGCGATGTTTCTTAATTAACTGAGGCATGACACCAAGCGGGTTTTATTTGCACGAAAATCAATCAAAACTAGCATCAATATCAAATTTTAATCGCAATAAAAATAATCTTACTCAAGATGACAAAATTTTGTCGAATGTACAATTTTCCTCTCCAGAATCTATCGTACATATCTATAAGTCTACCTTTCGCCCATGCTTAAAATATTGCTGCCACATAAGGTTCGGTTGTTTGCTGGTACTTTTTTATGGCATATCAACCTCAGTGGGTCATTTAATGTACCAAAAAATTTTGAAATAGATACGTAGCGATAGTTTGGTAAAAAAAGGTGTATATGTGTACCAATCTGTCTCGTCCACAGAATTGATCTGTGAATTTAACTATATTGTCGACATGGAAAAAATCCCTTACTATAAAGGTAATTCACATTAACCAGAAAAAAAAGACTTAGACACAAGCGTCTATCTTTTTAAATTTAGATTTTTTAATGTAACTATAACAACAAAAACATTTTGCCTTGAAAAATTCGGAAGATGAAACGCGTCGGCAAAAATTAAGATTTGTTTTCCAATTGTCATTTTATACCAATCTGTCGTGTCCACAGAATTGATCTGGGAATTTAACTATATATACATATATATTTGAACCATTTTTCAATTACTCATATTTTTTTAGTACAATCACATGTATTGCTGGTAATTTTTTTTCAAAAATTAATTTCTGGTAATAATTTTTTTTAAATATTTCCGGTATTAAGACCTATTTTTACATTTTTATAATGCTTTTTACCTCAGTTTCGGGGGTAAATATTTGCCCATAACTGCGACTCTAACAGGTGCTGCCACTCCGGGTCAGGGTGGACCTGGCAATACCAACAAATAAGAGGGGGTTCCACGCTCTTCAAAATCTCCTTATCAAAGGCCTTGCTGCTGGACGTAGTTTATCGTCTTGCTCTGGATGCTTCATGGTGGAGGGGGCTTACCCCTCTGCAGTGATGCAGTCGGCATATTCTACAGCCCCAGCCGAGAGGGCGAACATAAGTTTCGGTTCACCTGTTATTTCATAAAATCCAAAGAAGAATCAGCAATTTTATTGGCCCTGATCTGGCGTCACGGTCCAGTTATTTTCCCATATGCTTCCCTCTACCTTTTGTATAAATACTTCCCCGGTATTTGTTCGGATGTGCACTTCTCTATAACTAACATTATTATGTCTGGTTTCTTGTAAATAGTTTTGTTTTCGTATTGTAAATACACATTATGGTTAGAGTTTAAATTGTTGTTTTATTCCACCGCCACAGACAATAAATTGGACATAGGGGACTTGTTAGGACTCCCTAGGCATTCTGAGCTATTATTCAGTCACTGATACATGGTTATGTAAAGATGTATCTTTCGATACATGACTGAGGAGGCAGATTTATACCGCAGTAGGTTGTCATTTCTTTCTGCAGTCCAAGGTTATAGAACCCGATCTGTTCTTCTATTTAACCATAGCCGGGGGTGGAGAAGAAGCGGTTATTGTGAGTGAGTATAATGGATTCGACTGGAATTCGAACTCGCCTCTCTGATTCCTCAATCCGTGCCGCTATACATTAGTAAGAATGATAAGTAAGAATGCGTTGTTTTGGTGTAAGGGATATTTTTGTATATTTGGGTCAGTGTTTGCGGTTAGCTACGGTTAACGTTAAGACAGAAGTAGAACGTTCTTTTCCCTATTTCCCTTATTTGCCTTGTGCCACGTTTTGCATCATTGTACAAATAAATATCAGTCTTCGCTATAGCACCTACACGTCATGAGTTCCAGCGCCCTACGAGGCTGGCATCCCGCTCTCACCCGTTCACTGTCGAAACTCCTAAATGTAGCCGTCTCTTCTACTCTAATAGCTTCATGTCTCGCACATCTCGCCTGTGGAACTACCTTCTCTTCTCCTGTTTCCCTGTGAGCTATAATCACAAGCTATTCAAGTGTAATGTCAATCGACATCTCCAGTTGCCTTGATCTATCCACTACCCTCATCCTTACTTCTATCACTCCTATCTGATCTTGCTCTAAATTTTCGATAACCCCTTGCGTCCTAGTGGCTTCCCGCCTTGCTTGGGGTGAAATGCTTTAAAAAAAAAACCGCAGTCAGAGACTTGAATCGAGATCTCATCAATTTACAACTGAGCTGTCTAGATGTAACCGTAAATTCTATACCAACAGTTTCTTTTCTCGCAATTCTCGCTTGTGAAGCACTTTTCCGCTTCCATACTTTCCAGCCAACGATGATGTTCAAAATTTAATTTCAATGCCAATCGCTATCTACTGTCCTGATTACTCTTTTTCTTTTCTGTCATTAGTAATGTTTCTGTGTCTAATTCTTTCAAACCAAGTAACCCCGTCATGCCTTAGTGGCTTTAATTCTTTACATGGAGTGAACTCGATTAAAAATAACGTCCATATTTCTTTTATACCTGTGTCTGCGTGGACGTAGATATTCAAAATGCGTAGACATTATTGTCAAAAACAACATCTCGTAAAATTGTTTTCAACACCTCCATGACTGATAACTTAATTATGTGGCATTTGAGTAGTAATGAACTTGATAAATATTAATTTTAAATAAACTATATACGGTATCAGATTTCAAAGGTACGTTTTCTAATGAGTAAAAGGAAATACTGGGTCAGTAGATGCGGGATTTGATTTGATTTTTACACTTTTACGGCTGAACTAGATTTTTTTAAGGTTGTTTAAAGCCGAGAACTATTTTTAGATTGTAAGAATTTTTGGGAGATAACAATGATTTTGCGATACATGTTTAAGAGGTGGCTTCTTACATTCCCCAAGAGTATTTGCACGTAACTGAACATAACGAACCTGACGGGAAATAGATCTCGCCTCCCCGATATCTCATTCCGAGCCGTTATCCAGAGCACTGTTCCGATAAGAAGGACACTAACTCCGCATTACAGCACCTGGTAGTCCAGAGCGGTCACCAATTTAAATACTGACCAGACTCAAAGTTGCTTAACTCTGGTGTTCGAACGCGAACCGGTGTTCTAAATGTAGCAATAATGAGATAGCAATCTTTAGATGAATAATTAACTACAATGTGACATCAAATTTTCACACACACACACACACATATATATATATATATATATATATATATATATATATATATATATATATATATATATATATATATATATATATATATATATATATAAAAAAAAAAGCTTAAACACTAATATTCCATCGTTATAATTTATTCCATTGAAATCGTAAATACGATCCAATTCATCAGACCTACAAATTCAAAAAGAAAACAGAAAAGAACAACTCCGGAAATAAAAATAGAATTTGGAGAGAGTGTAAGTATGAGAGTGTGGGACAAATGCTAGTGTTAAAGAGAGGGGTAATAGACGGAGGAGGCGGGAGATTAAAACATAACAGAGAGGCTTTTTTTAACTAGAGGTGGGTGGAGAGGGGAAATATGAATGTTGTCGGATGTCTAATACATTAAAGATACATTTCGTGGTGACATACACACACCATAGACGATCTAATGTTAAAGATCAGAATAGAAGGGAGGGAGAGAAAAGGAAAGAAGAGGTGGGAGAGAGAGATGGGGCGGGGGAAACTAAAATTGAAGGACATTTACTGAAAGGGCCGCTGTGTAATTAAAAAAATTTGACAAAATTAATATCGATTACAGGTTACAAATCAAATATAAACATTAAATATAACGATTATCTAATCTAGCAAGGACCTGTATTTTTATGTTCAAAAACACATGCGAATTCAAACATACACAATAACATATACACGTATATACATACACATAGGCGTGTACCCACATACACACATACATATACCCATGTACACACATGCACATATATCCACACTTCCACACAAATACACACATACACATACATACACACACACACATACATATATATACATATACACATATACATATATCTGATTCAATATGTTCTATCCTCTCGGAATTTTTTATTCAAAAAATATACATGTATGTGTATGCACCTATGTATATATATCTATATATTTTGCATATGTATGTGTATATTTATGTTGTGGTACGATACACCTAATTTACATAAGTGGAGTACCGACCATATAAATATGGGTTGGTACCGGAAGACGACGGAAGATTAAGAGATCGAATCCAGAGACTCTGCCCGACTGCGACTTAGTCAACCCATTCTGCAGGAACAGTCTTCCCAAGAATATACCAAAACTACCTGTAAATATTGTGTACCTTTTTTCATTGTTTCAATACATTTTGTTACGTACATTTTGTGTTGTATTATTATTATTCCATGCTTATTCAAGCTTCAACAATTTACCACTAATATTATATATATATATATATATATATATATATATATATATATATATATAGTCACTTCCCAACCCTGTAATATGCATTTTTCTATAGATATGTTCATGGTAATTGTTCTAATAAACTTTCGTCTCTGATAGCTAGACATTACGAATACTAGACTGGTACCAATTTCTCGTCCCTTTATAGTTGAAATCGCTAGATATACCCTCGAGTTCTAGGTTTGCAGTTTATTCTCTTGTACTTCTCGCCTGTGGAACTGCATTCCGGCTTTTTGCTTCATAGTCAAATTTGATCTTCAAATATTTAAATGCCGATCGTCTTCTTCATTCTTCTTTTTCATTCTCCCCTCTCCTTCATGTTTCTCATATTCTCTAACGAACCAGTTACCTTTTTACATTATTTAGTTTGATTATTGTCATATTCACGACGTTTCGGCTTTGTATGCCCCGGTCTTCTTCAGGTTATATACGTTGGAATTTCGAACCGAACCCCTTTTTACATGCACCAGATTAGATTTTTCTAGTTCCGCGTAGCATGACTCAATGGGTAAATGTGTCGGTCGAAGTAATCTAGTGACTTGACCGAAAGATTTCTGAGTTCAGTACTTGGCCACAACAGAGGTGGACAAAAACTTGGAGAGTTCAGATACTAATGCAAAATAACTGAAATTGAGGTATCCGGAAAAAAACATGGCACGGGGAACTAGAACAATGGACGAAATAAATGGTTCGTTTTGAAATTCTAACGTATGTCATCGGAAGAAGGCCGGAGCGTACAACGGCCGAAACTTCGTGAATATGACAATAAAAATAAGGACAACAGTCCGAACAATGTAAATTCTGTAAATATTTACAATTACGTTAGAAATATAGACAGATCAATAAAGTCTTGCTTTATTGCATTGTATGGAGAGAAATGATTTTTTAAAAATCATGTAGAACTAGGTTTTCCCACTGATTTTGCGTGATGTTAGGGTTCTCCTCCGTTTTCTTGATTCAAACATAATTCAGTTTTTTGTTGTGTGCTTTTTTTACCTTTAGACATTTTACCACATTCGCTGCTTAAGGATTCTGTTCTCCTTCATACTGGCCTCTATAACCAGTCTCTCGGGACCGGAGCTGGAGTATGAGAGATCCTATACTGGTTGGATGATAGACTTTCTTTGCAGGATATCACCGTCACTCAAGTACCTTACCACTGAATAACCAACACAATGCGGAGAGGCGGTTGGTGAAAATTACCAGCCTTTTTATGAGTCCCAGGTAAATGGTCCCGGGCTCGCACGCATAGAACAATGAAGAAAAAAAAACAAGTCTGGTAATCATTCAACTTTATCTCAATCAGAATTCCATGGCGGATAATAGACGTCTATCCATTTATCCGAAAGAATTACTGAATTTCTTCATTCGGAGGGAGATTTCATCATCAAGATTATGAGATAGTCAGCAGTATTACTAACATTATTAGAATATCTGCAGTAAGCTAAGATTTCCACAATCTACAACTTGTAGCTATACACCTTGGTTGCGTACCGTCGAGACGGAACCCACAAGACGTAGCATGTCTCCCTGGTAGGGAGCAACAATATGGCAAACATCAGCACGCAGGAAACCAATTCTTGGCGATTATAAATACCTTTATTATAGCAGAAAAACGTCTGATATTCATTGTTTTACCTGATGTTCTATATTTAATGCAGAACTCTTGCAAGCATCCAGTTGAGGGGTCCTCCCCTTTTTACACAAATGGACTCACCCAGTATATACATATACTACTGCTACGTGAAGACTCGAGACTAGAGAGCAACAGAGGGTGGAGGCAACAGACAGACAGACAGACTGAACGAACTTAGCCAACAAGAGTCACCTTGAGGTAGCACGTAGACACAGTAAGTCATACAGCAATACTACAATACCACAAACTGTATATATATTTTGCTACTAACCCGTATTCCAGGAACTACTAACCTGCATTACCAGTTTGTATTATTACGTTAATACAATATTTTCCTATATTCATTCTTGGCGTTTGTTATTTATTAGTACCGGATTTCATCCCGGAATTCACAACACATCCTTTAAGGATTATCAATAAAACCTTAGTAAAGTTTCATGCATAGATTTGCAATTCTACAGATACCTTTACGCTATTTACATTGTAAAGATCTCACTACCTACGCTGCCATGTGGGTTCGTCTCTTCATGTAGACCTCTAAGGGCATCGACAAAACTCATCAGGACATAGGAAGTTCTTCAGTATCTCCCGTGAGACATCTCTATTTACAGTATAAAAAGTATTTGTGATATCAACAAAGTAAAGGTCCATCTTTTGCTCAATGTATTTCTCTTGCAAATGCTTTGCAGGAAATATCATGTCTGCTGACGTGCTGTGATTCAGGGTGGGTTTCATTAGCAATGTTGCTAAGAATTATATCCCACAGATTCCACGATAACGCGGTACCCAAAACAAAGAGAAATGATAGCTCCCTGTAAATCCTACAGTCATATTTGCATAGCTAATGTCCACATTCATCTTTCACTCATACGTAACAACCACCAGTGCATGTTAGCGATCGTCTGGGGCACCCTTTTCTATTCAAATATTTCTTTTAAATAAGGTAAAAGCTGTACCAGTTTTACAATTACACATTTCAAGATGTCAGCCTAGATGATACCCACACGAAGCAATATGCCACACTGTAGCCTTTTCATGTCGCTTCTTTAGCCTAGTAAATAAGAATATACATCTCGACAAGAATTGAAATTGTACCCCCTTTTTTTCATCACGTTAACTTCCTATTTAGGCAAAGAGAGACCGCCTTGATGAATCTAGCCTCAGTTACTTATTTAATAAACGCATATCTCTCGTTGGAACTTTCCAAACTGTAGCTGCTACCTTCATTTTGGACCTTGTTTTACTATATTCATTATTATGTTTTAATACGATATAACTTAAAGACGTACGCAATTTCGACATTTCGCAGTTTCCATTTCCTTCTAATCATTGAAATATTCCTTGCGTACAGTATGGTGTCTTTTGCCACTGCTTTCTCAGTTCGGTATCCAAATAAATCCTCCTAGTAGACTCCTGACCATTCAAGTCTAAAGAATCCAGTCTACCTTGCTATCTTTCTAAAGATAGTGGCGAGAAGAAACGATTGTCTTTCTGATGTGAATTATTTAAAATGCGGAAGAGGGAAAACTAATGCTGAATTTGAACTCAGCAGCTGATACTGTTTTTTCTCTCCAGTAACCGCAACGCTACCTGCAAATCTTTCATTATTTTTTATATCAAGATAATCACCAAGGTTGTTTTTGCTTACCGATTCTTTAGAATGATTATTATCATTTCTTTCTTTTATTTTCAATTCGTATTTGCTACCTGTAACTCGCTGACTTCTTTCATTTTGCCAAGTAACAACGTATTATTAAGGCTTTTTGCCATTATAACAATTCTGTTTTATTCCATTTGTCAAATTTCCAATTAACGTTAAAGTCTTTTTTTCTATAACAGATGGAAATAAATAAGGACTATGCCTTTTCTGGATGTTATATTAATGTTATTTATTGTTTTATGCAATAATTCGATATCCAATAAGACAGATACCATCTGAATTATTGCATGAACATGTTATAAAGATTTAATACAAAAATAAACATGGCTTAAATTCGTTCACAAATGTCGAAATTAT